TATCTGTTGAGCTATGTGTCAAAGATATTGACTGGTGGATGACAAACAACATGCTAAAGCTCAATCAGGAGAAAACTGAACTGATTGTAATTAGTTCAAAATTCCGCCCAAAGCCTGCCATTTCATGTGTCAGTTGGTGATGAACAAATACTCCCCAAATCTTCAGCTAGGAATCTCGGTGTCATATTTGACGAATGCTGTAATATGGCGGAACATGTAAATAAGATCTGCAAAACGTCGTACTACCAATTAGGGAACATTTCTAAAATTAGGAAGTACCTCACTGAGGAAACTAGGGAAATTCTTGTTCATGCATTTGTTAGTTCAAAACTAGACTATTGTAACTCTTTATTGTATGGCCTCCCAAAGCATATGATAAGTAGTTTGCAGTCTGTGCAAAACGCGGCTGCTCGTATCGTCACTTTAACCAAGAAATTGATCATATCACCCCTGTATTGTTTCAACTGCATTGGTTACCTGTTCACTTTTGGATTCTTTTTAAAGTTTTATTATTAGTTATAAGGCCCTAAATGGTATGGCACCATTATATATCATGGAATTACTTAGTTATCGTACATGTTCACATACGCTACGCTCTACTGATCAAAAATTTCTGGCTGTTCCGAAGTCAAGACTTAAAACATATGGAGACAGGGCCTTTTCCGTTGCTGCACCTAAACTCTGGAATGAGCTGCCATTAGATCTTAGAAGTTTAGATACAATTAATTTATTCAAGAAACACTTAAAGACCAATCTTTTTAAAAAAACATATAATGTTTAACTTTTTGATAATTTGGAATAGGATTTACTGTAATATTTTTATAAATAAGTCTGCAAATAGGTTTTTAATTTATTCATATTTTATTACCAGTGGGATCTTTTTAATTATTTTAATATTATGAATTGTAAAGGGCTTTGGTCAATTAGTGGAGTTAGCACTAAATAAATTATGTTAAATTAAATTAATTAAATTAAATATTGTTGATAAATAAATAAGGAAAGAACCTCAGCTAGATACATTAATGACAATTTTCACTGGGGGCTTACTGTTTAGAGGTAGTCAGGTCAAAGTAGGATGTAACAAGACCAAGTGGTTTGACTCCAACTAATGAACACTCCATAGCCTGAAATGGGATATTGTGAAATAACTCTGGCATTTCCCTAATCCTGCAGAAAAGAAGAATGTTATCATTAATAGTACATCTATTGAAACCAGAGATGCAAAGACCAAACATCATTTGAACAGCTTTTTTAACACACGACAATTTGAACTCTGCCTCCACAGCAATAAATTATGAGGAAACTACTGAGCATTTACATGATGGGCTTCCTCTAGCAAAGATCAAGAAAACTTAATGAATTGAGCTAGTCTACAACTGTATGAATGCCAGAAACAATTCTTGATAAAAATGTGAATCCTATGATTGTACATTATTATGTTCGGTAATTTTTCCTACCTGCAACAAGGAACCAAGGTACTCTCTGCCACATCCACAAGAAAAACACTGTCAGTAATAAAAACACATATCAAAGTACTTTTATCAGACAGTGCACAGTAAAATAAAAAAAAGGAAAGCAGTCACTGTTATGTCACAAAATTTAGCAGTTTCCACCTTCTTCTTTAAGGTTTACACTGAGTTCAACCTTCAGCTTTGGCAAATAACCCAAACCTCGGCATTGATAATTCTCACTACCACGCCTAATCTCATCCAATAATCATTATAATTTATAATGCACATGCAAGATTTACAATTTACCTTGCTTGTGGTCCATTTAATGTCTGTAATACTGTTTGAATTCTTGCCCTGTACCAGCAGTTATCTGAGGTCCGCTTCACCACACAAATCTGCAATGTGACATGAATTACAAGATAGGGTGGTAAGAAACTCTTCTTTCAATCACAATTTACATGTAAGAAAGATAATAGTAGGCAATTGCTGCATTCTGTATATCAACAATAGGTTCAAAAGTCATTTAACGCAAGACTATTGCATGAATGGAATTCTGGTATTTGTGGGCACAACAGATGGTAGATGTATTGAAATTCTTGCACTTGCATAAGCTCAAGGTAAGAACATTAATTTTCGAATCCTTTCAAGACATCTCAAGTCACTATACATATATGGTCACATAATGACCATAATCCCAGCAAAATTATTCTATTCTTGAGTACCATTAAACGTCAAACAAAGGGGTTCACTGAATTTGTTTGGTGGTTCTTGAATGTTGTCTTTAAATTGAGCACTTACAGGCATCTCAACAGATTAAACCCAATTTTTTCCCCACAAACTTCAAGACCCAAGATGTTTTATTCATCAATAAGGAAACTTTATAATTCATTCTATAAACAATTAATGCATTAGTAATTAACCAATGCAAAAAAAGAGGAAAATTTTTTCTTATTATATTTTTTTTTTTTTTTTTTTTTTTTTNTGCTCCCAGTTGGCTTGTTAGCTCAATTGGTAGAGCGCTGCACTAGTATCGCAGAGGTCAGTGGTTCGAATCCCGTACAGGCCTGAATTTTTTTCAGGTCTGATTTTCACTATTGCTTAAATAGTGCTTTACTGCGAAGGATCGTGCACATATACGTTTCATAACCGCAGTTCATATATATGTATTTCATATGTTTGTTGTTTGATTTATCATCTACGGGTTTATGTCGAATTAATTTGATGGCCTGCTCCCAGTTGGCTTGTTAGCTCAATTGGTAGAGCGCTGCACTAGTATCGCAGAGGTCAGTGGTTCGAATCCCGTACAGGCCTGAATTTTTTTCAGGTCTGATTTTCACTATTGCTTAAAATAGTGCTTTACTGCGAAGGATCGTGCACATATACGTTTCATAACCGCAGTTCATATATATGTATTTCATATGTTTGTTGTTTGATTTATCATCTACGGGTTTATGTCGAATTAATTTGATGGCCTGCTCCCAGTTGGCTTGTTAGCTCAATTGGTAGAGCGCTGCACTAGTATCGCAGAGGTCAGTGGTTCGAATCCCGTACAGGCCTGAATTTTTTTCAGGTCTGATTTTCACTATTGCTTAAAATAGTGCTTTACTGCGAAGGATCGTGCACATATACGAATAATAACAATTATATCAATTTCTACACACTAACCTGACCCTTCTCCACATGATTAACAGATTGTGAGCTTGTATCCTTTCTAAAGTGATCATTCAGTTTTCCCATAAAGTCTTGACATTCGTTGCCAGGACTAGCAATAGGGTGAGCCCAGAAATTCCCAGCATTGATTACCTGCATGACAAAAAATCAAATTTCCATCATGCTCACAATTTTTGGCTCTGTACATCAGTCGGAAGAAGCACCCAACTACTCCCTCAAAGGAATGCGTAATGACCCAATCAAACCCTGAATTTTTTTAAGCCTGCTATTTTCAAAACCTCTTAAGCAACAAATTACCTGCCAGGATCCTTTCTTCACTAAAACTGCTTTTTTCTTTTATTCATATTTTTTGATACAAGTTTAATTTTAATTTCTTTCAACCTAGTATTCTTCAAAAAAAAAAAAAAAAAAAAACCATAGCACTCATGGGATTTGTCAATCTTTCAAATATCATTTCAGTCATGGTTACTCTACAAGACACAGGCCTAGTAGGCTGGCCAAGTTTAGCTCAAAGCTGGTTTAAATGGGGGCCTGTATAAACAATCACCACAAGACCAGACCACAACACCAGGAGCTACATTTGTGCATTCCCTACTCTTTGCATAGAATGTGTGGGTTCATTAATGTCCCCTGCAAACCAGACCAGGGAAGATACAGGAGATAAGGCCAAACGTTTATCATCCTTATCTGAGAAGACTAGAATGTCTAACCATTTACGGATGTCATAGCAAAGGCAGTACATTCTCCTCAGTTATTTTAAGACTCTGAGTGAAGGTCCAGTCTGAGGCTTAAACCCTCGACCTTCCACATAGCAGTGTGGTGCTCTGAAACATGTTTAATCAGCTTACCTCTTAATGAGATATTCAGGTGTTTATATGACATTATACATGATATACAAACCTTAAATATTTCAATATCCAAGGTAGAGGCCATTTTTGGAGGTTCTGAAAACTATCCTGAGAATATGATCTTCAAAGAAAAAAAAAAGAAAAAATACTTCTAGTGATAACTCATTTCACTTGTTACCTTTAACAAACCCAATAAGCAAGTCAAAATAGTCTTGTGTGTACTTTTTCAGTGCTTTCATTGTGTCAAGTGTACCTCAGTACTTTATCACTGGAACAAACTGTTTTGTAAAGAACTACCTATGTAGCAATGGACCCCAAAGTGATAAGCACAACATACATTTAGCATATTCATTGAATACAGGAGATCCCAGAGTTATTCTTTACTTTCCAGAATATTTATGTCCAGCTAAATTTTGTTGGCTTGTGCCATTTTGAATCCAGACAAGAAACTTTCTCCTGTTATTTAGCATTACTCTCTTGATGATAAAAGCCCTAACCAAGGTAAAAAGAAATTTTATTCACTTCATAACAAGATCATTTTTCACAAAAGAGGTGTTTTAAAGGCTAATGAGCCTAACGACCCTTCACCACCGTTGTTCTCAGGAAGACAGACCTGCGACCGACTCTGAGATCCTTCTTGAAATGGAAAACCTAGGTTCTCAGGGGCTTCCTCTTAATTTCGGTTTTATTTTGTTAGCGCTTGCACAAAAAAAAATCATTATTTTCTCATAGCACTCGCCACAAAATCCACAACCACGGAAATGCATGTGCCAACTGTTCCACTACATTATCACACAAAAGTGAGTTGACAGTCCCTCAAACCTCTATCCTCGATACCCAATAACTTTGAGAATCAAGGCTCGAGTTCAGTTTCAAGACGTTCGAATCGAGTATCAAGACCCTTGAAACTCGGCTCAACTCGAAACGGGGAAACAAAGGAGTTTTCGTGCGATTAATTTTTTACTCGATTTGAGGTTCGTCACCTTTTAGTCTAGTACACGTAGCAAAACTAAAACCATGCAGATGTGAGTCCCAGAATTTCTGGTCGAATTGCAAATGATACACGGGGCTATGAATACATCTGTAGTGATTTAGGAGATCTCATCGATTTATATAGTACTTTACACACTGGTACAGCGCTACTGGAACAGTCTATCAGAAGTAAACGCACGCTTAAAGGAATAATTCATACAGTGATAATTTATCACTTTGTCTGCATGCTTATAAATTGCCTTTTTGCCCCATGCTCTTTCCCTTCATGAACATACCTGATCTAAATTTCGCTTCTTGAATAGGCGCACTCAAAGGAAACGCATAAATCTGGAAGTTATGCGCCAGAGAGTTGGCTCGAATCTCTAGAAATTAGTCACTTCCATCCGCCATATTTGTTTCAAGCATGCTTTGGTTTGGTGGAGATCTGGGAATAGTAACCTCGATATCATGAAAAGTTGACGCGTCTCCTGGGCTCCCACATTATGCGGTTACGGTTCGAACAAATTATAGCTTGCAAACGAGCGCACTTTGCCTTGGTATTTTGTATGGCTCGCTTGACAGACAGACAAACTAAACGCAACCCATAAACCGAGCCATCCTTCAAGTTAAAACCCTACCAAATGACGTGAGAAAGGTCTCCATAGAAACCACCTACTTTTTCACAATCCAAATTTGTCACCACGCAGATTTTGTTATCGACTTGGGAAACAAAGCGAAAGTAGGCTCCTTGGGGATACCTACAAATCCCTTCCTTGTGTGTTTCTTGTTTCATCATTGTTTGTTTTACTCTTTCAAAGCCTAATAATATGTTTGTAGTCAATAATTAAAAAGTTACTTATTCTGATTGCTATCAATTATTGCGAACAGCTGACTACATTAGCAATGGGCTGGTGTGTCCAGGGTTAAGGAAACAAAAAACTGGAAACACTTCAGGAAACTAGAGAATTCTGTTTTGGCGTGGGTTCACGTAAGTATCAAAGTAAGTAAGGGGCAGATATTTTTGTTTAAAGATGTAATTATGTTGGCCTCATAGCCTCATGGCACGGCCTCGTGTCGTGCAAGTATTCCTGGAAAAATGTTATTCGGATATTGTAGCAGTGATAATTGCCAGTCACGATACTCGCCGCTCAACTAAGTTTCGCAGAAGAATGTATAATACACAGTATTTTTGCAAAGAAGCAAACGGCACTTTGGTACTTTGCTTGGCAAGAGTTCCATAATATATAGATTTAGCCAAGCCTAAAAGCGGAGCTCCCAAGTTCGTAATATTAATGATAACATAAAAGATGTGCATTTGCCAAGACTCGCCTGAGTCACCCCTCCCTTAGGCACGTACGTACGTACGCTCGGTCAGTCACGTGACAACCAAACGAATAGAGGTTGACCATATTCCATGGGTATGGGGCTCTGTATGGGTACCCCATAAATTAATTATGCATAAAGTGTTGCAAAGAAACCTTTATAATTAGTCTTTATGAAATGGAATGCATAATATGTATGGGGTTATATGGAACCAGAGTTAATAGAGGGAACTATTAACTCTAATAACTCTGATGGAACTCTTTCCCTTTGCTTTCGTCGTGGACTTCTCAGTCCGACCGATAACATGTTACCAAAGAGTTCATTCTGTACGTAGTTTGTATGGATTTGAAATTAAACAGAGGGTGTCAATCTGGTTTAAACGGGTTTTCAGACCCACCAGCCTGGGTCTAACGCTAGGCGCCAAATCGACAGAAAAGAGACGCTAGCCGTGCGCTACGGTGGCACGATAATAAGCCCCATCAAAAGTTTGCCTGTCTGATTACTGTCTACAATAAAAGTACCCTGTTTGTTACAATTCCTTCAAATGATCAGTTAAATACATAAATTTCCCAATATGATAGTGTTTATATTACGTGATGTTCTAAGACCCTTCCAACGTAGTAATTTTTCCGCCTTTTTCACTCGCGGTTGCCACACATCGTGTTTTCCGCCACTTCATTTGAGTGCGTCCTTCCTGTTATTCTTCAACTGTCTTAACCTGTTTACGTAACCTCTCATCGTAATATCGAGTAACATAATACTTCACAAACAAAATCTCTTATTTTTGCATTAGCCAAGACTGTATTTTTGTTGCTTCAGTGACAATCTGCTCAAGTACCTCTCGGTTTGGACTGGAAACTTTCACCGGCCGCCGAATTGCTTTTGAAAACAATCTGAGTGAAAGATGGTTGCAATATCTTCACGTATTGAGGTAAGTGTTAAACTTTCAGTTGAAGTTCTGACATCTCACGAAACAAAAGCTCAAAGGTGTATGTCATTAGAGCAAGGACAAATTGCTAAGGAAGATGAATTCCACGCCTAATTCAACTTATTCGCGAATCAAAAAGACTCTCGCTGCCGTTGCTGGTCAAACGTCGAAAAAAGGCAAAAATTAACTCCTATATAAGTCACATAAGCAAAATTTCCTCTTATAAATTACTTAAGTCGGTTGAAAAATAGGAACTGGAGATCTCTATTCCCAGTAGATGGAAATATTTCAGTTGCTTATGAGCGTTCGTACAGCGAAAGATAATGAGACGGCGAAAACTTCAATGTTTCTAGACTAGTTTAGGCACCATTGTAATTTTAGTACTTGGCACTCTGAGTGACAAAATTTGGGATGTCAGTGAACATTTTGAAGAGCTTGTACTGGTTCCGGCCGACTGCTTTCCTAACCAACATGTGCAGCAGCTCGGATCAGACAGCAGGCAAGAAAATGCGCCAAAATTCACACCAGGATCCGCTCTCAGCATGATTTTTTTAGTGTCTCGTCAGGTTTGTTGATGACATTTTAGCTTGACTTTAATTCTGTTCCATAGTATCGAGAGTGCTCTGCTCAAGAGACTGAGGGATACAAAACTGCTTTTAAAATTGATCTGCACCTTATCACTTGCATTATCAGCCAGTGTTTTACAACTAGCATTTCAAAGCTGGTATTTTGGCTTAACGTATCTGATCTAATCTATATGTCGATTAATCAAACAAACGGACATAAAACACCCTTACAATTACGAAAGCATTCACAAAAGACCCAAGAGTTCTTGACGAAGCACAACATTGTTTTTCTATGGTTCACTGCTCTCCCATTCCAACCGAAGCAAAATTCTAGAGTCACTGAAATCGATATCTTCACGTGGCGTGGCCCACTTCTCGATGTACCGGTCTCGCTTTGTGCTCACCTAATACTTTAATACTCTTATAAATTAGGCTTACTGCACGAAAAGAAAACAATAAGCGAATGTCAGTCGTTAATCTACCAAGAAAATATTCAGTGATAAAATCAAACAAAAACACGATCACTGTCCCTTCTAATTTGCCGCTAATTTGTTGCCCATAATTTGTCAGCGACATGTCTCTTTTAACTGAAAGGAATTTCCTGAAAACGTGCGCTCCAAAGAAGATAAAATTCCTCACTCTCCTCAGACAATACACGTCGGATGTAGCAATCTCCACGATCCCGAAAAACCGTAAACCACATATCATTCAAACAGCTAAATTTTAAAAATTGGCATTAGACACTAATGTGAATTCCATCACTCATGAATCAAGCCAAACCCATACAGTACTGAACAACTCAAACTTCCCTATGCATGTGACACTATACCTTTACCACGACTGAAATTAATTTCTGGTAGCCTTCATGATGTTACTGATAGGATTCCTTCTCGCACCGTTGTCTTGCAAGCGCTCTGGGGGAGTTTGCGGCTTAGATTTACCTCATCGAGGCATCAAAGGATCCAACTTGTATTGTTTTAGTTTCTGTGGGACTTAGATTGGTGTTTGCGTGCAAATGTGATGTTATACAGGAGATGTGATGTTTTGCAGGAGACGTTAAATTCCCACGCACGAAATTACTGTGTGATGGATGTCCTCCCCTTGGGTGGGATGGGTGGGTTACATGACCCCCGTTGATACCAGTGTTTACTACACTGAAGGGGCTATCCTGTGTAAATAAAGATGTCTACTCTACATTGCTTGTGAGTCAAGTGCCTCACTGTCGAACTCGAATTAAATCGTTTGTGCTGTCATACATGAATGCCTTTTCGTGAGATATCTTAACGCAAAGAAAAAAAAATCTCATGACATTTGAGATTCCAGGAGGAACGCCACATTTATTTGAGTTGGGAGAGTTCATATAACTTCAGTCTGAAATCGACTTCTTTTCAATCACGCAACTCTGAAGTCCTGTATACCTCATGTTGTAGAAAATGTTGTTGTTAATCGTGGATTTGTAGACAAATGAAACTCTTATCGCTTATCTCATGATGCAAGAGTCAGGCTAATCAATCACGTGTTCATCGCAACGTTTCGACAACTACACCGCTGACATGTCTTCGTCGTGCAACGAGGTCGAAATATTTGACAGTATTTTTAAGCTCTGGACCTAAATAATTATTTTTTTCCCAAAGAAGAAATTTCTATACTTTTCTCAACCTTATTTAGGATCTACCGTAGAGGAAACTAAACAGAAGCCCTATTGATTCTAGGCTGATGTATAGCTAACTTCAGCAATGAATCTTCTTAGACAGCCAAGAGTGTTTTTTTTTTTTTCTTTTCGGTACGGAGGAAGAGCCTTAGATGTGAAGTGATTAAGACGGCTGAAGTAAAAACATAACACGACACATTATGCGACGGCACCTTCTCGTTCGAACTAAGATATCTACTTGTTATCCTCCCCCCGGACGTCCGCACAGAAACATAAAAGGGGGGGTAAAGGAAAGGGATAAAAATGAACGACATTTATTCACGAATGTGTGGGTATAATTAATACAAAACTGATGTTTTATGTCCTTAGCTCTAATTGATTTACACGATGCGACCAAGGCCGGCACTGTACATTTTAACATTTAATTGGTGCCTGATGTAAATAGCTGACACAAGAAAACTTCTGACAGTCATTTCACAAATTTTTTAGTAAAAAACGACAAATGAGTATGTACGGTATTTAAGACAGCCATTAGATCTTAGCCAAAGGATATAAGCGTATAATTACAGTGTTACTTCGAGCGATTTACTGGGACCATACGAAGCTAAAGAGACAACTTTTCATGGTCCGAAGGTTGGTGAGTGGGACTGTACGTCTGTGTCTGCATGATAATCGTAGCAATGACAGCCGGAATAGAATTGTCAAAAAAATTTCAGAAAGGAAGCCCTGTTAGCGAGTCAACCAATGGATTGAAATTAGCAATCTGTTCAACTGTTCAATCTACCTCTCCCCAGTTATTCTTTATGTTTTCTGTCTTCATGTGGGCCTTTCGCAAAAGTTACACAGGAGGGATATTACAAACTTGGCGACTGTCTGATCAATCATCGTGAGTGAATAAAGGCGAACGTGCATACATTGTGCAAGTACATGCTGGAGTCCAGTTCTTATAATTTTTAAACCAAATTGAATTTCTCTGTTTTATTAGATAAAGTGGAACTGAAGAGAAATTCCATTAATATAATTCGAGTGTGTTTTATTCTTTATTTAGTGAAAGTTATATCAATGTAAACGGAAGAAAGAAATCAGTTCCAACTTTCAGTGACAATTTGGAATTATATTTCATGTTTATTTACGCGAGGGAGGGACCATGCCGTCTGCACGAACGATGACTTGTTAACTAGCAACAGACCGCCTTACCTTTTAGCAGGAGCGCCAAAGATTTTGCCGCCTTTTTACAACTTGACCTCAGACCTACTACCAAAATGTCGCTATCATCTTTTCACGTATTGGATGCAGTTTAATAACTGCAAACAAGTGGTCTCTCGCACGGGGAAAGCCGAAATTCATATGAAACGTATTAATCATTTTGCCCCCAAGACTATCATGGTCCCTATTACGCCAGGTTCGAAGTCTGTTACTAATTTAGGCGATAAGTTAATGAAAAAATTGTGGTGCTGCGTCGGTGGAGGTTAATACGAAATAATGTGGTTGAATCAAATGTAAATAGGCCAACGTAGGGAGTATCTAAACTGACTTTTCGAATGTTAGCCCTCTCTCATTCGCTTTGACGAAGGCCGAACGCTCGCCGGAAAAGTCAACTTTAGAACTCTCTACAGCGCCCTAATCATCCAGTTGATAAAACAAAATTACCCTGTTGTTAATTTAGTTCAATTCCTGACAAAGCCGCGGATTCTAGTCTCAGGCTGCGGTCCATTTTTGTTGCAGAGTTCAAAACTAGACCTGATATGCTAAAGAGTAAATCAAACAGGGCCCACGCATTAAGGTCGGAAGTTAATTAGACCAACGCAAGAATTCGAAACAACTAAACTTATGTTTCCAAGAGCTCAAGAAATGATTAAAAATTTTATTCTGAATAGGCTCTTTAGTAGCTTTAACTGTCAAGCCATTTCTTTCTTTCTTTTTTCTTTTTTTTTCTTTTTTTTTCATGTTTTGTCTGCAAAATAATCAAGACTTCTTTTGAGAAATCTCGACAAAACTTTCATTTAGCCCTCCTCTGGAAATTAAAGTTCAATGACGTAAAAACGGAATTAATCATACACTCCGTCTAGCAGCCTCATTGACGAAATCAGCAACATTTCGCTGAATTACCTACGGCCAAGAAAACGTGCTAAATTTCCCGATTAAAAATCTGATAGGTAAGGAATCAAACTTGGATTTCAACAGCTGATATCAAAATAGATCCGCCCCTTGGTCGCGAACTTGGCCCTAGTTCCTCCAGAGCAGCTGACCACAGAAAAAAAAATCATTAGTAAACGATGAGCTATTTAATTGTCTTTAATTGGGCTTGAAGACACTCCGTCGCCCTGTGCGTTTATGGTAAATGTAAAGAAGTAGTGTAACAAGCTTCTGCTACGTGTTCAAAATGTAACACTGAGATTCTTTGGACTTCATCTGACCTTAAAAGAAGCGAGGCTTATGAAGCGGTGAGTCATAACGTGAATTCTGATGTACTGCGCCCGAAACAGGTGTTTTCAATTTTAATTTTCTGACATCCTTTGTCTAACTGCTTCAGTTTCGCATTGTGGTACGCATGGGTTTTACACTTCGAAGGTTCTTGTCTTCTCTTTGTGTTCGATTATTAACTTTGCCTTATTGTTCAGGCTTAAGAAAGATTTGATTTCACTGTTCTAGAAGGTCTGATAAAAGGGCGGTACATTAGTCAAAGGTTTGCTTTAACATCAAACGTGCCCTACAGTAGTGCATATACGGTTTATTGATAGCTTTGTCCGCTTTCCTTCTGTTGCCATCGAACTTTTTATTTGTTCGAAATCAGACTATGACTAATTCGTTCTTCGTAAAGTACGCGAAAATATTTTGCATGTAATTGCTCGGTAAATCTCTTTTCAAACTAAGGCCGTTTATTTGAAGCCATTTTTCCGCAAAAATACATCTAATGTCTGAAAATTGTTAAGCCAGTTGAAATGTTCTTATGACAGGTTACTTAATCAATCTTCGAAGGAATTCTCCATCACTGCTCTGTGAATAGTATGAAAGCCGAGTAAACTTGAATAAATCCGTCACTCTAACTATTCAATGAAGGCTTTTCAAACTAAACGCCGTTGAATTACTGAAAATGCTCGGTTTCATAAAACGTTTTAAATGCATGTGAAAGTTTCAAAGTCTGAAAATTATGGTTTTCTCTCATGTTTAAATTGAATTCAAAACACCCTGGAGTGTCTACCATGTTGATTTTTAGCTTTTCTACTTGCCTACGCAGTCTGATATTTTCATCGCAGGTACAAGCTTGGCATTGGATTCTTGTAAAAGACTTCTGCCACAGAGGCGTTATTTATTACACGAATACAAATGACAAAACATTCATTTATCTGGCAGTTCTTCAAATATTTTTGTTCGCCCACCAAACAGTTGTTGTACTGTTATCACGTTCAGTTCTATTGGACACGCGAGGGCCGACTCTTCACACCATGTGGCACTAGCCATTGGATTAGGTCCCCATGTCCTGTTTTCATCGCAGTTCAAAGTATTCTTCATATCTTTTAGATTTATAAAAATTTTGAGCATTTCTCTAGGATGATTTATTGAATTTAGGTGAAATGGAGTTGTTTGAAAAGTCTTTCGCCGTTCTGAACTTCTGAGTGTAACGACCAGCGTTTAAATATTATTATCATTACGCAAATTAAAAGTAGCTGATAAACAATCTTCCTTAGGGAAATAAGTTTAAAGTTATATCCAAACAGCAAGCAATAAAGTCTTTCAAATTTATATGTTTCCATGTGGGAGGTCATTTGACCACAAACAACTGAATACTTTTTATATATATTTTACTTTTATTGGTTATTGTTTTCTCTTATCTAAAGAGCTCGTGTGTGTCCGAGTATCAGATACGCTTGTTCCTGCACGATTACTAAGTTAGTTTCATGGAAAGGGAGAATGTTAGGTTCGAAAAAGGAAAATTTTGTAATTTTTAAGACCAACAAAGATAAGCAATTGTTGAAAACTTCTATAAGAGTAATTGTGACTTTTGCAGGTTTAATAAGTTAGCCTGGCGAAAGTTATGAACAATGAGCACTACATGGCTATATTCCAAACCGTGCACAAAGTTAAAGTTAAAAAAAAAAGTTAAAGAATGGAAAGAAAAATCGAAAGTTCACATAAGGATGATTCTCCTAGGATATTCCTGATTAGTATGTAAACTAAGACGAGTTTCCACAAGACTTTATTTGCTTTTCCATATAACATGCTATGACAGTTCTTCAGCAATTTCCACACCCCAAAAACCTTGAAAAGTAGAAGCGAGTCATCTTTTTGAATTCTTATCAGCAATATGATTTTAATCGAATGAAAACCCATACTTTTAAGCTTGTTAGCTGCACTAAGTACCAACGTGATAAATTGGCTATCCAAAATTATAGCTCAGCCGTAAAAAACTTACAGTTTCCGACTTGGAGTTTGCAAAACCGTTCTTTTTCTCTACGATAGCGTCTGTGGTTCTCCGGGAAATAAAATGGGGTTGCCTGTTTTTTTTTTTTCCAAGGTGGAAAGAATCAGAATTTCTACTATCTTTCATTGTTATTAGGCAACAACGGCCTCTTCAAACAAGAAAGCACTCGAATGATCAATAGTAACAAGTCTAATATGCGGCACGTGGCCATAAAACTAAACACACAATAATGCGCACATAATCCTCTTTTATCCTTATTGTCTGGCGTTCTTTTGCTTCAAACATTGCCTTCCGACCACATACCAGCATATTTCGCAGGTTTAATGTACCACGTGGTGGTAGATGAATTTTTAATGTCGAGACAGTTTGTGGCCAAACTAACATGAACCTCAATTCATGTCGTGTCCATTACTAAAGGTGTACCTTATTAGCAGCTGATCGCTATCCGAAACGCCGAGTGCAATTTCATGACAATTCCCCCGAAAAGTAAATTTTCCATTGAGACGAGTACAAATCAAATAAAGAATGACAAGACAATTAAGCGCGAGTTTTTATTGAATAATGTTATTACGCTGACAGAGATGGGTTATTAACGTTTTGTTCCAAAATGCCCTAAACGCGATTTAATTGGCAGGCCATGAATCGCTTGCGTAAATAAATGTAGTTTCTTAATTACTAAGAGTAGATGAAACAAGAATGTCAAAATATTAAAGGAGATCTGTCACCTGTCCGTAGAAATGTGAATTTGTTTTAAATTATCTGGTCTGTACACAGTGGGTTACTTCATAACTAGACAAACGTTGCAGGGAAACTAATATTACGGGTGAAAATCTTTTGAGAATGAACTGAAAAGAACGAAAACTCTCATATCTCTTCTTGCAGCGAGAATATTCAGTCATCGCTAAAGCATTTTGTTTTGTGAAATTTTTATCGCTCAAAACAGCCGTTTTGCGTCTCGACCATTTTCCTTTGATATAATGCTTGGTAACAAACGAGGAATATGAATCAGTTTAATTAATCTCATGGAGAACACCGATAAGTAATCATACCAGAGTTTGTGAGTTTTTCCGCACAAATACAAGAGGTAATGGCTATGGAAGTTCGCCTTTCTTTCATGTCCTGTTTGTTTCACTCTGTTTTATTGTTTAATCCAACATTATGCTGCTCTGAATATAGAGACTGCGAATCCATATACCCTGAAAAATTAATAACAACCACTACAGACTGGACGGCAATTAGGAAAATCAAGAGCGGAAAAAAAGTATTCCAACTGAATGGCTTCGCCTTGTTTGATAACTTGTTTCAATATTTTCCTGTGCTGTCACAAACCAGATATTAGGTCGCCTTGTCAAGAATTTGAACGGATACGCAAGTATCAAAAAACACACACTTGTTTCGAATGTGACAATTACCGGGCATTCTAGTCCAATTAGCATCGAGGATGCCCACAACTTCTGTTCATCTGTCCAATTGATTTAGCAATTATTCATACGCGAAACGTCAGCTCTAAGGAAAGTTGGATAAAATATCCCAAAGAGGAGTTATCAGACGTAGAAATCTATTATTGTACTCTTGTGCTGCATTTCCTTACAGCGGCAAACTCGCTGTTTCAGCATGGCCCTAGTGAATACGGTAATTGTCAGTGCCTCTCGGCACTGCCTGAGCTTTTTGCATAGATCAATAAACCGGCTAACTGGGATAATTAATTTTGAAATGGACAAATGGAATAGTGTTCTTCTCTTTGTAACCGGGTGAGATTAAACGTACAATATGCTTTGTTATAGCTGCGCTTTATAATTTCTTTCTTTTTTTTTTTTTTTTTACTTTTATTTTTCGCAGCCCGGGAACATGCTGGCTCGGGCGTAGTGATCAAAGGAGTCTCATTATCCACCAACATTGTTTAGCGATATACGAAAGGCTGCTCAATGGTATAAATAAGGAGACAAGCGCAGAGGAGGCAATGAGCCCGGTCAAGCTTTAGACTCGGATGGCAGCTGTTGTTAATGTTGATTTAAAGAGCAAAAAAGAATCGGGTTGGACGTTCGGAAAAGGCACCCACGCAAAATGTTTACGGTCTGTTTGTTATTTCTGGCTCTGATTATATCGTACGGACATGGTGAAAGTTTCACGAGATTCGACGGATCAACATATGTCACGTATTCCTACAAGGAAGAGCAGCGAACCCTTCCAGACAACATCCGTCTCTTGTTCCGAACGATCAAACCTTCTGGAATACTTTTACACGCGACCAGCAGTGGAGGCGACTTCATAACCCTTGAGCTCCTGCGTGGAAAAATCAGGTATGTAAGCCTGTTAGGTAGTTTCCACTTATCTAAGTTTACATCTTTGTCTGTTCTCTCGGTGAAGTGGGATGTTGATTATTTTATTTTTTTAAAGCAAGGGCGAGATTCGCTAAATGTCCTTGGAAACTGTTCAATGGGGTGCCTAACCTGAACTTGACACAGGCGCATAAGTGTTTTATTCAACGCGCTTACTTTAAAAGCGGAGTAAACTTCCAAGGCTACTTGCGAAATGAGACTAACCGTTTACCGTTTTTATAAGCAGAAGACTTCATTTTATGCACGAGATAATTATCGGTAATATTTGGTCGAATTTGTGCAGGCCCATGCTGGGAAATTGTAAAAAGAAAATGAAATTATTCTGATAAAATAGGGATAAAATGTTTAGTTTAAAATTTCATTACTCCGCCTTATCAAAGGCGAGCAGTCTTTGGGTGAAAGAGAGGATTAAGAAACCATACATGCCGTGTATCAAGCTATGGCAAAAGAATGAAAACGCCTGTAAATAAAATCATAGTACTAGATAAAGACAGACTGATCATCCTTTGTTTGTTGGAAGGTTTAAGCCGTGCGCTTGTTTTACATAAAATTTATACGAGATCGATCGTAAAATTTTTATCAAGAAGAGTGGCTCGGATCGGTTGACGAGGTGTTTTACGATTTTGCCGGAAAAAACTCATTTTAATTACTTTTTATAATTTTGTCCTGGAATCGAATTTCATTTGATTTTTTTGTATTTCCGTTTGCTTTATTTGCGTCTGTTTGTAAGCTGTAAAATCAAAAAATCCTCTCACTAGTAAGTCTCGGTAATTTGTTTTTTGTGGCTTCTGCGTCAGGCATTCCTGCTGTGAGTTATTCATGTTTATCCAGATTTCTTTCGTCGATCCGTTACTTTTTCAGTGTACTCTTCTCTAAATCTGTATACCCTTCATGTACGTGGTTACGAGCTACTACAGTCGTCATTTCAACATTGTGACAGAAACTGTTTCACTAGGAGGGTAATTACAAAGAGAAAAGATTGTGTGTACTCGAAGAAAGCCACTCTGGCTGCACCTGCAATAACGTAGATATGCGCAGTCGCAGTTCAGTTAGTACGCCATGAAATATTTATGTCGACCGTCTTGTTTTCTTTGTATAAGTCACAGGACAATGCTACAAAGATAAGTATTTTATTAAGTCTGCTTTTAAAAGCAGTGAGTGCTAATCGCAGCTCGTAACACTTAATTTATAACAAATTATGGCATACGTATAGTTACATCGGCGCCACCGTTGAGGAATCTTCGCCTATTCTTTTACTCTGAGGTCTACTAGATTGCTTTGAACTAATACATGTTTTAAATTGAAAACAACCGAATTTTGAACGTTACCTTCCGTTACCGAAAGTTCTTCTTTCTGTGGATGATACAACTGATGTTTACAATGAATTGCGTCTTTCATGGAAAATTCGTAGAATGGAATTGTGTTACATTATGGTATTCCCTAGTTATTTTGGCTTCCAATGCAGTTTAGGTGGCTTCCCTGTCTATATTATGACTGTGCGTTGATGCTTTATACAGAGTAATGGCGCACAATTTTGCTCAACCTTGCATAAGTAATCAGTTCAATCAAGTAGATTTATAAGATTCTACATATGGTGCACGATCCTCGCAGTAGATAGCGCTATTTAAGCAATAGCGAAAATCAGACCTGAAAAAATTCAGGCCTGTACGGGATTCGAACCACTGACCTCTGCGATACTAGTGCATCGCTCTACCAATTGAGCTAACAAGCCACTGGTTCGAATCCCGTGCAGGCCTGATTTTTTTCAGGTCTGATTTTCGCTATTGCTTAAATAGCGCTATCTACTGCGAGGATCGTGCACCATATGTATCTAATACCGCAGTTCAAAATATATGAACTTCATATATTTCATTGTATCTGTTATAAGATTCTAGAAACTTCTTCAGTTCAAAGAGAGAAGTGTCGTCTTTCAGTTAATCATGTTAAATTTTATTGAGACATACAAATATATCATTCACGTTAAAAACACTAAACGTAATGCCACCTAGTTTTTCTAATCTAACCTAAAATTATGAGTTACTTGGGTAGCGATCTCAAACAACGATCGAGGTGAACACTGCCTACACTAGATCAAAATTTGGTTAAATTAGATAGAATTATATAGAATAAATGTTTGAAAAGAAAATTTTCCCTGAGCGGGATTTGAACCCACGTCCCTCCTGTTACTAGTCAGGTGTGATGACCACTACACTATCAGGACAACCATGCTGGCAACACGGCAATCAAAGATGTGATTTACGTGATCGGAGACGTGGTCTCCCGGGAAATTTAACTTTTCAAGGTGATCGGGTAGGGGAAGCCTATAACCCCATATGAAACCCAACTAAGGATCTATTAAACAAATTTGTTTAATTGAAATTAGCCTGTATCCGTAATTGGATCCTCCTTTGCGATCCGCTAAGTTGACTTCGGTCGTGTATTCTATTTAAGTATGATTACTTGGGGTGTACATGGTCAGGGTTTCCCTCGCATACAGTATATATATATATATTTAGTTTGAATATATCAACAAAGTTGAAATGGTAAATTGGCCACCGTTACGATTATAAAAGCTGACGTTTCGAGCATATATATATATGCAGTTATATATATATATATAACTGCATATATATATATATGCAGTTATATATTGCTATCTATAACTTCATATTGCTATATATATATTTAACAATTATTCCACGAGCGCGCGTTGGATATGCGATGATAGATAGCCAACGAGGCGCGTAGCGCCGAGTTGGCTATAATCATCTCATATCCAACAAGCGCGAGTGGAATAATTGTTTTATTAAAAACGTTAAATTAAATTATTAAATTTTGTTAAATTTTTAGCTCCCTTTTAATTTTAAGCTGACACGTACGCTCACCATATATGGTATATTGGCTGATATACCATAATGGCTAAGCCAATAAAAAGTCTTGAATTGCATCATCCAATGATCTAGTTTTTAATAAATATATATATATATATAGCAATATGAAGGTTACTCGATATGAGTACATATGGATTTTAATACAGTTCTGTTTCGTACACCAATTAACAAATGGTAAACGCCACAGCGTACACTATTGAGTTATGGATGCACGCGGGAGGTTTGCTAAGCACTCAAGAAGCTAGGATCACACTCGGCTATCGCCTCGAGCGACTCTTACGCTTCTTTCGTGCTTAGCAACCTCCCGCGTGCATCCATAACTCAATACTGTACACTGGGAGCTTTACCATTTGTTTTATAACATAACATTGATACATTGTAGCTAAAGAGTTCCCTTTTATTTAACAATTCTTACGTGACCAGAAAAAACAAGCGCGCGGGGAAAAATAGTCTTTGCATTTGCTCACGTCAGCAGCGTACACCCCTGGGCAAATGGTGGACGCTAAATTGACCAATCAGAGCGCGCGCTTTACTTTGGTTATGTTATAACAAACGTTGGTCTACTCATCAGTTAATCTCCATACACACATGGAGATTAATTGTATGGAGATTACCTGATGAGTGGACCAACGTTTGTTGGTCTACGAAACAGAACTGTATTAGAATCCGTATGTACTCATATTGAGTAACCTTCATATTGGTATTACCGCTCCTTGAGTGTAGAGAACTTTTCTGGAATCATCGGTAAACGCCACTTCAATTGATATCTATATAATATATACATATATATAAATACAAATTGTCGAACACTAGTTGCTGAAAACAATCTCGGATAAAAGCGCTCCATGACAGTCATCGCGTATTTATCTAACCGAGTTTCTCAGAAACGAGGAGATATATCAGAATTTAAACGCAGGTTTCTAAGGTAGTTTTACAGATGCGATATGAATGCATCAATTTCTTAAGTTGTTTCAGAATTTGAGTCGCTTTTATTGGTGGAGTAATGTTAAAATTTGTAGCTCTCTGATGTGTAAATCAGTATGCATCTGTAGTTAAGCACTGTTCGGATCTATTTCACTACTGAAGATACGGATCTGCAATTGACAACACTGGTATTTTAATTTTTTTTCCAATATTTCTTTAAATTAGTTGCCTTTCTTTAGTAGTGAAATCTTCAGGAGTGAATCTTCAGGAGTGAAATAGAGTCTAGAGTCTGAAATTGGAAAAAGAAATGGTAAACTACGCTTTTAACAGGTGATGGCTCCACAAATTGCTAAAGCGATTCCAACTTGAGTTAATATTGGTTTATTTTGTGTATTTTTTTTAGGTCAAAATCTATAAGATTTTTCTGAGAAAACTGAGATAAACACAATATGATTGATGGTAGTTATCTTCTTCCGTTAATGATTTTGTCTGATTTTATTTAATTGTCCGTTTTTTGTTCTTTACAAGGTATTCGATATTTGGAGGGAGTATGCGGAATTTGACCTCTGGAATAGTAACAAGTAGAAATTTAGAAAATGCCGTCGTTGATCTGGCGGATAACGAATGGCATCAAGTGGATTTGGAAAAGGAGACAACTGATTCGCTGGTTCTTTACGTGGACATCACAAAAGAAGTGATCAAGGTCCCTAGATTTTACTCCAGGACTTTTGGAGATCAGACGATTTATCTGGCCGGTGTTGACGTTGGAAGGATAAATTCAAGGCAGCCTCTGTTAAGCAACCGTGATTTTATCCCATTCGAAGGTTGTCTTGACGACGCACATGTGGCTATAAACGGACTTATGCTGCATAATTTCACGAGAAGAGGAAACAAAACTTTGCGTGGAAGGCATCTTTATGAGTGCAATGGTACAACGGAGTATGACCCAATTACTTTTAAAAAACCTGAGTCCTTCATGAAGGTCAATGTTGCTAGTGTAGACGCTGTCAAGTACAGTTTAAAGTTCCGTACTCATGATGGCGAAGGGATATTGTTATTTGAGAGAATAACGAAAGCAAATGGTGCTAGGATCATCGTCTCCCTAGTCGGTGGGACCATTACGCTACGTGTGACGTTTGCAAAGAAAGAATCTCCCGTCATTCTTCACGGCGGTTCTAATCTTGAGGACGGAATGTGGCATTCTGTTTCTGTTGATATTAGCATACGACGAGTAATCCTGGAGGTTGACTCTGACATCTCGTCTTCCCAAAGCAGCAGTTCGCAAGGAACATTTTTAAGCAGCTCCGAAGTCTATGTCGGAGCAAATAACCAAGGCAAGCTCGGCTTCGTAGGATGTATGCGTGATTTCATGGTGCGAGGACAAAAACTCAACTTGACAGATGTATACAAATCCCAGATAGGAGAGATAGACAAGTGTTCCTTGTCGGACCTGTGTATACCTAATCCGTGTCTGAATGGTGGAAGATGTTCTCAGGCCAGAAACAAAACCATTTGTCACTGCGCAGCTACTGACTTCAAGGGTCCAAAATGCGAGACACCTGCCTTCTTCATGCAGACATGCGCCGATTGGTGGATAGCCGGGAAGAGAAGTAACGGGTATTATAAGATAAACCCTTGGCATTCAAAACCTTTTTCTGTTTATTGCAATATGTCCAACGTAGAAGGGCCTTCAACGGTTATTTTTCACACTCAAGATAGAATTCGCGTTAAAGCTGCTAAAAATAAAAATGGTGGAAGATACCGTCATGACATCAAATACGAAACTACTAACACTAGGAACATAAATTATCTTATTGCAAGTAGCACTCATTGTAGACAATACCTGGCGTATCATTGCTACAACTCAATCCTTTTTGATTCGCCCAAAGAGTTTATTCTCAAGTCGGGTCGTGGGGCACGATGGTTATCACGTGACGGAAAAATACAAGATTACTGGTCAGGTGCAGCGCGCGGGAGTATGAAGTGCGCATGCGGTATGAATCAAACTTGTGTAGAACGTTCCAAATCTTGTAACTGCGATACTCTTGACAATACATGGCACGACGATAGCGGTTATTTGACAGATGTAACGAGCCTTCCCGTCAAATCCTTGATATTTAGCGTCGATGGAACTAACCCGGAATCACGTTACGTCCTTGGCAGTCTTGAGTGTTACGGGTCTACAACCAAGAGGACAACAACTACTAGTTTTCCTGCTAGTGATACTCTAGTTACACCACAACCATCCACCAAAAGTCAAACAAAGTCTCCAAGCACCATAGTCTCTACCGCTTATAAGCCCCCCATTTCAAAAGAAGACAGAAAACGCGCCTCGACTACGAAGAAGGCACCGTTTTCCTCCAAAACATCCACTGGCGCCTCAGAAGTGAACAGCCAAGCCACCCCCGAATCAACGGATGACTCAGTTGATATTGTAGTTATCGAAACACCAAAAAAATATATAACGATCCGGGAAAACGCCAATCAAGAACTCGTGCTCATTATATTAAGCGTTATACTTTCCATTTTTGTGATTGCTATTATTGTGCTTGTTATCAAACAAAATTTATTTTTCCCTTGCAAGTGCAAATGCTTAAAAGCGCCTCTGTACCACGATGTGCGCCACATGGATGTTATAGAGCTGGGCCCACCAAGTGAGGCAGAACCGGAGCCTATTCTACAGTTTGAGGCAAGTCCCTATCCAACGAGAAATTATGATATTGGATCATCTCACGACTGTCATAGGACGTCATCTCCAGAACTGTACAGTGATGCTGAGACTGACAGACTTGACATCAGCAACGGAAGCTCTTCGTGGATCTCAGAAAATGCCGATGTGGGAAAAGATAAGCCCGAGAAAAACACTGGATACGAAGATATTGATCTCGGGCTCATTGACTTACGTCCAAGCCTTAACGCCCGAAAGCAGCTTAGTACAGAAGAGAAATTCAAAAAGCTTAAGGAGGTCATTTTGGACGTTCTGTCTGCGTCAGACGTCAGAGCTAATTTTAGTGACAAAAAGGAAAATCCCGTAAGCCCTGTTAAGCCAAAAGACGTACACCTTCGTGAATCAAGCTTTGAGTTTTCCCAATCGCATTTACCCGTAAATGAACAGTTGTTGGATTCGGACAATGATTCTACTGCAACAGTTTCTGAGTTAAGTTCAGATCAGGAACTCTTTTACGGAGATCAGTGCGCAGAAAACTATCCATGCGATAAGGAAACGCCTTGCAATCATGATGTGTGCGATGAATCTTCTAAGGAAAACACTCTTGTGATTTATAAGCCATCAGGAGAAAGGAGAATAAGCCGAAACAACTGGATATCGTCCGATCCACATGACAATTATTTATCTTTAGACGTAAACAACCTTGAGGACGATACTCTTGAGGCGCAGCCTTTAAGTTCAACTTTGAGTGGCTACGATTACAAAGAACGGACTCCCACTGAAATAGATGTAATGTCTCCTAGCGCGGAGAATGAAAATTATCGTCCCACCTCTTGCGACGGAGGAGGACATGAGGTGATATTTCATAGGGATGATAAATGCAAGCACAGCTCGCCGCGTTCACGCTTATTTTCCCGCCAGAAAAGTGAAGAGGAAGCTCTGCTACCCTCAAAGCAAGCAAATGAAACGCAGGAGCAAGGAAGCGATCGTTTACCCGAAAACTTTCAGAGGCACTATAGTGGCTTTTCAAATAGCTTTTACCGGCAACCGCATCAGCAGCAGAACGCATCTGCTCGCAAAAGCCAGCCTGAAAATGGCCATACTAAAGAACGCAGAAAAAATTCGCCGAAGCAAGGGCATTCTCAGAAATATGAGACCGAACTATAGCTTTTATAACAATGCTACATAGCTGAGAATTCTAGTCTAGATGTGCTTCGACTATTTACATCTTCGTGTGTCAAATAGTCTACTAAAATATTGAAGATTTTTTCAGTGCTATTATTAAGGCATCCTAGATTTAAATTTTCAAAAAGGATGTAAATAAGTCTATCAAACTGGTAAAATACAATAAAGTAAATTTTAATAAATTAGTCTATATAAAAAGGCAAGATTATTTGTAAACTAGAAAAAAAACCCATCTATGTCGTTAAAAAGTAATGTAAGTCGCCAGTCTATCGGAGAAAATGTTCGTTAAAGAAGTTTCCAATCAAAGTTTCGTTTGAAGTGAATTTAATTAACGATAATAAATACCAGAGTTGCATGATATTTGAAAACTGTGAGTGGATTGTAATTGTGAACAGTTTTTTCTTGGATTTTGTCCTCCGTTT